ATTAGCAACCTACAACATGCAGATGACACAACCTTGTTTGCTGAAATTGAAGAAGCACTTATTGCAAAAGGTCATGGACTGTAGTCTTCAATATGGATTGAAGCTCAACATCAAGAAGACTAAGATTGTCACTACTGGGCCAATTGGCAGCATAATAATAGATAGAGAAGAGATTGAAGTTGTTAGCAATCACAGCTTGCTTCGTCCCATAATCAACACTCTTAACACGAAATCAAAAGATGAATTGCATTGGGAAAGTCTGCTGTCATGGACCTCTCAAGAGTGATGAAGAACAGTAATATCAATCTAGATACAAAGGAGCACCTAATCTAAGCCATGGTCTTCTCAGTTATGTGTTATGTTTCAGAGAGTTGGACCATGACTAAGGATGACAGAAGAATAGATGTCTTCAAGTTATGGTGCTGGAGAAGAGTCTTGAACATATCATGGACTACCAAGAAATCCAAATAGATCTGTCTTGGAGAGGGTGATACCAAGTCGCTCTTTGGCGGCTAGGATTTTAAAGCTCTGCCTCACTTACTTTGGGCATATGGCCAGGAGAGACCAGTCCTTGGAGAAGGATAGTGCAGGAGAAAGAGATCCCAGATGAGATGGATAGATACAGTAAGTGAGGCAATTGGAGTTGGTGTGTCAGAGTTAGTGAAACTGGGTCAGGAGAGGGAAGGGTTCAGAGTTGCTGTGCATAGGGTCATCACTATACATCACAGACTACTCAGTGGTACATAACAACAATAGCATACTATAACAGGTTTGGCAGCAGGAGTGGCATCTACTTCCTAAACAACATGCCTCTGGAAACTTTATGAACATTGATAAAAGTCATTAGTTGTAGAGGGGCTTCAGGCCTTTTGTTCAAAGAGTCACTATGAGTCATGCTTGACTCCAAGGCAATCAACAGCATATTTTAAATTAATTGCTTATATTTTTTGTTGTTTATTTTACATTGCATACTTATTGGGAATTCTAGTTTTATTATATTGGAGTATTCTATATCCAAATTGCATTGGTTTATGTAGATCTTGTTTCTAGAAATTTATGTATTTCATCTAAGTTGTTGTTATGTGCCGTCGAGTCACTTGCGACTCATAGCGACCCTATGTACAACAGCCCTAAATCCTGCTCTATCCTGTGCCAATTGCACTGCCTCTGACACACCCATCCTGATTACCCCAGTTACTGAATCAATCCACCTCATAGAGGGTCTTCCCCTCCTGTGCCGTCCCTTCACCCTCCCA